TTTATTAAATATAAACGAAACTAATTTATAATCCATTAGTTGAAGCAGTGATTTGTAATTTTGAGTATATGAAGTATAGAACTGCTATGAAAAACATTTTTATTTTGATATTACTTAACAAGTAATTACAATGTATGTGCGAGCTTTCGAACTCAATCTGAGTTCATCATCAGACATATGAAAAAATGTTGGTTGTGAACATTTATATTTATATTGTTATTAGTCTAATTGTTCCATTGTGATTGATATAATTATTAATACAAGCGCTTGTATTGATTTAGTTCTTTGGAACTTGTTGCTGTCGCTAAAACCATGTACATTTATGTACATGGGTTAATTAGGGTGGGTGCGAATGTGGGGTGTGGGTGGGTGTGTGGCTGGGTGTGGGTGTTGATGTGTGGGGTGTCGGTGTGGGTGCGGTTTGGAGTCTTGAAGTACAGCCACATACACACCCACACCCTTTTCATTTTTTCGTAAAATAATATCATGAGATTCAACATTAAAATTTCACGTACACCTACGACACGGCATGGCCATTTAACAAATCGAGAAATATTACCACGAGCATCAGAATGATATTTACAATTTTCAAGTGTCGATCTTAATGATGATGCTGGCGGTGCTAATTTTAATGAATAGGCTTTCCGTACAGCATTGTTGACATTATTCGCATGCTGACAGAGAAGAACATCATTTTCTAAACATTATCTTAACATGTGTCTAGTGTACGAGAGTAGTCTATCTATATTGAGTAGCTTCAGGTTATATTCTGTCAACTGTCCGGTAGCCTATGTTTTTCTATCTGCATCATTTGTACTTAGCCACGCTTACAATTTCTTCTGCTTATGACTATCTAACAAGCGTAAAAAGTTTGCCTTTCGAATAAAAACAGAATTTTGTCTTTCGAAAAAATTAGATGCATCTTATTAAATCAATCAAGTGAACATTTTGTCTTTTTTTAACAGAATACTTCAGCTTTCTATTTCTACCATCATTCTATGCTCAAGGCAGAAAAGAAAAGTCAATAGATAGATGACATGAAAAAAAATGTTAAAGTAAGTAACAACTAATTGTTCTGATTTCTATACTAATGTTTTATTATCTGTTACTATTCTGAGATAATAGAATAAAAAAAAAAGATGTTGATGGTTAAATTCTTATCTAAACATTCAAGAAAATTATCAGCAATAATTGGCTGCCATTCTAATTAGATACATATATGAAAGCCAATCTACAAGATCTTCTTTCATGATATATCAATATTTATTTATTGTTGAATATGATTGAAAAAATTTCATTTCAAGAAAATGTTATTGACGATCAGCCATTAACTATTCGATAGCCGTAGTTATTATTTGAGTAGATTTTGTTAATACAATAGTAGTTATGATATTTAATATGTTTTATTTAATAATAAGAAAAACATGAAAAAAAAGCATCAACAAAAGAAAGATATAGAATCAGTTTATTCATCACGATCATCACCTGGTAATGAAACTAAGCCAGATAAATAAAAAAAACCTTCAAATTTTTCATTATCGTCAATCCATTTGTTAAGCTTACCGGTTTTATAAGCACATCTTGCGTGCTGATTGAGAAGACGGCGATAAGGATATATATCTTTTGCTAATATTAAAGTATTGCCATCAATATCATTAAATTTTCTTCTTTCATTTAAGTTAATTCTCATTTGTGGATCATCGATGATAAGCATATATTTCAAATTAATGCATAATATCGTCACATGTAAATAACCACTAAATGGATTGTAAATAAAGCATAGTTGTTGATGATCAAAGGCTTTTTCGATACACTCATGCAACAGTAATCCATTACGTTCATTATTAATATCAGATTCTATTAAACCAAATTCAGTTAAACCAACTCCTTTTGTGGCTGCCTCCCAAATGTGGGCAGCCATTACCAATGTCCTATCAAAAAATTTATACAATATCATACATTTTATTTGTGGGTGTGGGTGTGAGTGTGGGTGCGGGTGGGTGTGGGTGTGTGAGTGTGGGTGTGGATGTGGGTGTGGGTGTAGGTGTGGGTGTGGGGTGTGGGCGTGGGAGTGGGCGTGGGGTGTATCATTTGATATTCACACCCACACCCACACCCACACCCGCGCCCCACACACACACCCACACCCACACCCACACACCCACACCCCACACGCACACCCA